AGGCCTTCAAAACGCAGAGTACCTTACTGCTGAAAGCGAAGAGCTTAGCACAAATGATATAATGCAAGCGCTAACAGAGGTTTTAAAGCATGGAAGCAACCACAATAGTCAAGCGTTTCCATCGCCTTGATAATTATACCCGATAGCTCTGTTGATACTAGCGCCGCTAGACTTTGCCATCTCTTCAACAATCATCTCCGCTGTTCATTCACAGACGCAAGTTTCATCGTCCCACGTTCCACTCCTAAATTATTCCAACAAACTACAAACCGTCAAATTCAATCTTCGTTTCCTTTCGCCATCTTCTACAGCAGCTCAATACCTAAATGAAACATCTACAAGGACCTACCTGCGACGCCCACCTGGCCACGGATTAAACACAGGTGCCTGAAACCTTCTATGCCTTGAGACTGACATATCAGACATATTTGGAACATGCAATTACAATATTCAAGGCATCGGAATCGTCCGACTCAACCAGCTGCAATCCATCGCAATCGACTCCGCAAAAGCCAACCACGCAGCCAGCAGACACAACGGCGTTACCTGACTGCGCATAATCGCTCAAGCAAGCGGTAATAAGGCAGCCCTGCCAATGTCACACAACCGGTCGGCGGCATTCCAGGACGTAGTCTACTTTTACTTGACAAGCATTCACCTACAAAAAGCCGCGACTGTCTGTTTAACAACTCTGCGACCTGAAGGCTGTAACTCGCCACTCAATAAAGTCACTGCCCTCTTACGACGTATTGGCAAGTTAACCGATACACCAACTTACAAGTTATATGCATATGGTTGGAGGCATCCGGTTTTTGATTTGCATGTCATTGTGGCCAGTCACAGGACGCCTACGTCTAAAGAGGGACCATGGGTGGCTTGCGCTGCACCACTCACAGCTACATCCACACACAGCATATCCATTGTAAACCCGAAGGAATAAGACCGGGAGGCAGGTGGATGGGAGCCACGATTCATCAATGGAGCCTGCCCACACTCCATCACAGGCAAACACAAGCACGCTCTATTTGTGGCATCAAACACACACAAGGCGGTGGCTGGACTGTAGTCCGCTCCTCACTAGGTGCATGGAACCAAGCCTTGAGCTTAACGCGGCCACATGGACCGTGCACCCCGTCCCCTCCAGCAACGACCAACTGTCTCCTGGAGCCAGTATGAACGGGGTGATGGGTAATAGACAGGCAGGCACCTTGTCAACATGCACATCAAGCGCATCCACATCGGGGATATCAAGCAACAGCCATTTACTTGAGAGAAAGATAACTAATAAAAGAAATCGGGTAATGCCTAAGGAAACGGTGACATACATCTTATATTAATGAGCATATGAAATAAGTTGTTTACAAACGAAACCGAGATAAGTTCACCAGGTCAGAAAGAATATATTAAGGAAATGCCAAAACACAAAAATGTTCTTGAGATTGGCTACAATTAGGTTAAGCGACGTGTGCAAGTTTATAGAAGAGAGCATAAGTGGACATTTATATGAGCAAGAAAAGCATTAGGATAAAATTGAACTCCCATTACCTGAAATAAATAGACTTAGCGTGCAAGCACGTGCGTAGCCTACGGAACAAGATGCACGAGTTGGGTCTACTTGTAGACAAATCTCGTCCCGACATACTTGCTTTCACTGAAACGTGGTTGTCTCCGGATATCACGGACGGTGAAGTATGTTTACCTGGCTACACGCTGCTTAAAACTGATTGCTCCGTTGGTCACCAAGGCGGAGGCGTTGTACTGTATGTGAGCTGTAACTTAGATGTGTTTAGGACCTGCACATTCCAGTCGTCGGATCAGACTGTTGAAGCGCTATCGGCTGCTTTGTGCACTTCCTCCACCCAGTTTACAGTTATGTGATATACAGAAGTCCTGGGAGTTCTTTCAAGGGGATACTTGACTTTGTTCGCACTCAGTCTGCGAATAAGCGTTCAGTTCTAGGGGATTTCAACCTCCCGTAAGACTGTTGGGCCGATCTTTCTTGCAATTCGGCATTAGGAACATTCGGTGCAGATTTTCTTGAACTGACTCTCCAAGTGCCTTTGCACCAGTTCGTTGACTTTCCCACTAGGTAAATGGACAACCAAATACCATCTACTTTGGATTTGGTTTTCGCTAAGTCCCTAGACTTCGTGACTGACGTCTCATACGGTGCACCTCTAGGGTCCAGCAATCACGCATGCATATCCTTACGATGTGCTCTTTCAAGGAACCAAGAGACGGCTGTTGAATTACTTCCGAATATATGGCGGGCGGACTTTAGTGCAATGCGGACTAAGGCTTCAGTTCTGAAGTGTGAGATCTCGACAGCTGAGTCTGTCCAGTTAGCCTGGGATAAATTTAAGGCGTACCTAACGAAGGTTTCCACTCTCAATATTCCATTCATTAAGAAAAGTGGGTTAAGGGCACAGCCTCCATGGATAGATACCACAGGCAAGTACCTACTCAAGAGACGGTCTAGATGCTGGCGAACCTATCAAGCAGCTCCATCAGCCAGTACCTATGATAGTTATCGAGAGATTGGAAATAAATGTAAGCAACATCTCAGAACTGCTCGTCTCCAATATGAGCAGGGTTTAGCGGATCCGGTCGCAGCTAATCCTACTACGTATTTTGCATACGTTAAAACACGCAGCGGGGTATGACTTTGTATACCAGCGTTATTGCGAGCAGACGGGACCTGCGCGCAAACCGACTATGAAAAGACTTGGATCCTTAGTGTGCAGTATACTGGGGTCTTTGCTCGGGAGGCCTCTTTACCACAGGTTGAATTGGTTTCAAGTGTTCCAGAGGATTCTTACTTAGATGAATTTGGCATAACGGAGACTCAGGTCTTCGAGCTACTGCAAGGCATTAATCCCTCTAAAGCTTCCCGTCCTGATTCAATTCATCCGAAGCTGTTGCATGATTTGGCCACTGAGCTGAGTGGTCCGCTCACATGCGTATTTTCAATAGCGCTGGACAGCTGCAGCCTACCTTCGGTATGGAAGTAGGCAATTTTCTGTACAATTTTCAAGGGCGGTGACAGCGCTCTACCCGCGAACTACAGGCTTGTCAGTTTGAAAAGGGTAGTAATCAAGTTGTTTGAAAAGTTGATAAGGGATTCAGTGGAGAACCACCTGAATAGATTCAACCTTCTCAGTGTTGCGCAACATGGATTCCGCAAAGGATGTACATGTCAGACTAAGCTACTTGTAACTCGTGAAAGCTGGGCCGAAGCGGTAGACAGTGGCCACCCTGTAGGCATGCTATTCGTAGATTTTTCGAAAGCTTTTGACATCGTTCCACATCTTCGGCTCTCCCTAAAGTTGAGATTTTATGGGATACCTGGTCGCGCCCTTCAATGGGTGTCTGCTCTCCTTGAGAGGGAGAACAGTGGGTACGAGTGGGGCGTGGCGTTTCGCTCAGGCAAGCTGTCCTTATTGGCGTTCCTCAGAGCTCGGTATTGGGGACATTGTTGTTTGCGATCTATGTAAATGACTTGCCGGAAGAACTAGGGGTGTCATCACTAATGTTTGCTGACGAACTTAAGCTCTGGAATATTGTGGATATCCCGGGGGTCCTGAGGCAATCCAGCGTGCCTTCGATAGGCTCTGGGATTGGTCTACCTTATGGTTGATGCCCATAAATAGGGCCAAGTGCTCTGTTCTCCGAATCGGAACTGCAACTCCTCCCACCCGATATGTTGTCGGTGGTGGTGAACTCCTTTTTGTCACTCAGCAGGTTGATGTAGGAGTCGTACACGCATCAGCACTTCATTCTGGAGACAACTGGAAGAAGGCTGCTTGTCGAGGGTTTCGTATGATACGGTTTATCCGCCGCTCTATCGGAATCTTAACGGTTAATTGGTTTGTGAAGCGATTTTGGGCATTCGTCCGACCCTAGCTGGAATATTGTATTCAGGCTTGTCCGCCATGTCTTAACCGAGACAAAATGGACTTGAAGAGGGTGTTACGAGTGGGCATTAGGTTAGTGCAGGGTCTACGGGGACAGACGTATTCTGAACGCTTGCACAGTTTGGGGATGTACCCAATGCACTACCGAAGGATAAGAGAGGATCTGCTTCCCATTTATCGTATTTTGACGGGTAAGATTAGCCCGGATTTATCAGAGCTATTTAGTCCCGCTACGTTACCTAATCTCCGCGGCCACCCACTGAAACTGCATAAACCGCGGTCTGATAGGATTAGGACGGAAACTCGTCTGTCGCGCCGAGCTATAGATCGCTGGAATTCACTTCCAAATCACGTGATTAGGGAACTTACGGTTAAGGATTTTGCGCGCCAGCTCGATGCTCTTGGGTGGCAACAGCAAACCTTTCCTTTTTCCTAGCTGACGCACATTCACTTTTCAGTTCTTTTTAATGACTCAAATGTCCCGGTATTTCACTTGCTTAGCTCCTTCCACTTTCTCTTTTGCCTTCTGAGTTTACTTTTTTCTCTTTCTTACTTTCCATAACCAACCCAGCAGGGACTGCTAGGGCAGGATACGTGGGCATTAATTGGTTGGACAGGGTGTGATGCGGTCTTTGATTTAGGTCCATCAGCACTTCAAAGCTCGCCAACTCCTGGTTCAACGACCCGCCGAAGAAGGAACACTCACGGGATAATCCTATCGTTCCAGTCCCGCTTGAACTTGAACTTACACAGGCTGAAAAATCATCCGTTTAAGCAACTTCAAGGCCACAACTGCAAAAATTAACAAGTTAGTCACACTTTTTAGTTTTTATGAAGCACCAAAGTAGCCTAACACTATATCAGCTTTCACTTTCCAATTGCCTCAGTTTGCTTACTGCAGGCTTTAGAACAATTGTCCTCTAATGAAGATGTTTCCGAGTCGCTGCGGGTCCGGTACGGATTTCCGGTTTGTTCCGCACGTCCCCTGTTGAGATGTCCATCAGGATGTTCAGGCTCCGTTTGTCTAGTGCTATTTTCCGCCGTCTTATGTCTTCAACAGGTGGTATTCTTCTTTCTCATTCTTAGAGTTCTCTAGTGACGAAAGATCTAGTGGTCATAGGATCTGGTCCTGGAGGCTACGTCGCCGCTATCAAGGCTGCGCAGCTCGGAATGAAGGTACATACAATTCATCTTGTAAACTTTTCAAAAGACCTTGTGTGTAGAAAAAGACGAAACCCTTGGTGGAACCTGCCTCAATGTCGGTTGCATTCCCAGCAAATCGCTTCTGCACAATTCTCATCTATTCCACTTGGCCCATTCTGGTGAGATGGCGAATCGTGGTATTGATATTAACTCCGCCGTACTCAATTTGTCATCTATGATGAAGGCTAAGGAAAAATCTGTTGCTGCACTCACTGGCGGTATCGCTTACTTGTTCAAACAAAATAAGGTATGTCTAGCTCATTTGCACCATGACTTTTAAATACACCAGCACAACTATTTGTAAATCCCAGCTTTTTAAACCTAGTTTCCTCGAGAGAACAGGCATCTTTCGCTCTTCTGTAGCCTTGTTGGTAGGCCATCTACGAGCCTAGATCACTGTTTCATTCCCTTTCGAGCCAAATCCTGTCGTTGGTTTATCGATTTGTAGTGAGCAGAAAGGCAGGACAGGATCCAAGGACGAAACAAGCTCCCGCTAAACGAGCGACCCGTTTCGTGTGCCAGTAAGTGAAAAAGAGCCCCCAGCACTGCGAACTGATAGAATATTCTTGATTCTGTAATGGTGACAAAACGGAAACATGCGCAAGAACAATACACTATTATAAATTAATGAGATTAAGGGCAGTCAGTGAAGCTCAAGGAAACTCGGGAAACAGGGCCAGCCAATGTTTGTCCAGGCTAGGTTTAAATTTCTCCACAGTTTCGCATGCTTATATAACAGAAGGGAGTTTATTGCAAACAGGTACAACCCGGTTTGAGAAGAACCTGGCTTTTAACTCCAGTCTAGATCTATGCTGCTTCAATTTCATGCAGTGGCCCCGCAAGTTGTCTGACGTAGCTGGTTCAAACAGATCGGTGGGCCTGAAATCATTGAGACCTTACATGATTTTGAACGTATCTATTAAGTCACCACTCAACCCGCGTCTTCTCATAGAGAACAAACCCAAGTTAGCTAACCGATCTTAATATGGTAACTCGCGCTGGCCTTCTATCATTCGTGTGGCCAGTCTTTGCACAATCTCAATACAAATAATATCTATCTGCAGGCAGGGTGCCTATGCCTGAACACAGTATTCTAGATGTGGTCTGACCACAGCTTTGAACAAGGGAAGAAAGACCTCTGACTTGATACAACTCAGAACATTCCCGAGACGAAATAATTCCTGTCGCCCTTCATTAACCGCATGCCTGCACTGCGCCGAGGGCTTAAAGTCACTCGTCACGATGACAACTAGATCACGTGCCTCGGTGACATGCTGCAGTGTTAGGGACCCATTAGATGTACGGACGGTAAACTCGTCATCACGCGGGGTTAGGATTTGACATTTGCTGGTGTTCCGTGGTAAGTCCCACAAATGTGAGCAATTAAGGATGATAGCAAAATCTCTAGATAACAAAGGCCTGTCTCACCTGCTGACATGCTTCAAGTCGTCAGCAAACATATAGAGGGGTCTTCAAGTAGAGGGACCAAGTCATTTATAAACATGAGAAATAGCAACGGACCGAGTACTGATCCCTGAGGAACTCCACTGTGAGCAGTGCCTGCCGTCGAAATAACGTCACCAACCCTGACACGGAATGTCCTACCATAAAGGAATGCAGACAGCCAAGAAAGCAGTTGAGGAAAGATCCCAAACCAGGACATATTTTCCAACGAGAAACGGTGATACACCGAATAAAAAGCTTTACTGTAGTCAAGGTAACACAATTCTACTGGTATACCATCGTCAAGACATGGAGTTATTTCATCGAGGAAACAGCAGGTTCGTAAGGCATGATTTTCTCTTTACGAAGCCATGATGTTCTGCCGCGATCAAGTTATTAGCAGCAAGATGTTCGCAGATCCGATTCCTAATGATCTTTTCTAGACACTTGAGAAGACACTAGTCAGACTAACAGGCCGGTAGTTATTAGATGAAGATTTATTACTACCCTTATAAATCGCCGCTATAACTGATTCCTTCTAATCTTATGATATCCTCCCCTCACGAAGAGACATGTACAAATCAAGGATAGGAAGCTGGAGTATGTCAGCCATCGGCTTAACAATAGCGGGATGCACATTATCGGGGTTATATGGTTTCTATGGGGTTAAGTTCATCAGTACAGAGAAGACATCTGAAGCAGTTATTACAGTTTCGTCCATTTTGCGCTCGCTTACGCGATGCGCCGACAACGGTATTGAAAAACTATTATCCGTTCGATGAACTCTGAAAACCACGCAGCAACTCCTGCGCCTTATCAAGTTCTCCTGTTGCCCATCTTTTGTGATTAAATTGCTAACGACTTCCCTTAAAGAGGCTTTAGACGACGTAGCTGTACTAATGCTTTGGGTTCCTTTTTGCGTTTTACGCCAACCTAAGCTCAGAAGTATTTGACCTGAAAGGAACTCCTTTGTCAGCCTCATCACTTCCCGCTCACTGAGGGATCATATGACTTGATACGGCACACTGTTCCATAAGGGAGCATTACGATCACAGTCAACACAGCAAAATCCATGCCTCAAGTCAAAGTCAAAATAAGCTTAATGTATCCAGATGGGTACATTTTCAGCACTTTGCAATATCGCCAATGAATGAGCTAAAATACATTATCAGAACTGAATTTGTAGAAATGGATAAAAGGACACTGTGTAGAAGTGTCACTTGAATCAACGATCAGTGTAAAAGCGAAACAATTAAACAGTTCCGGACAGAATCATTTAAAGCCAGCGTTACAAGCTAGATTTTCAATCACGACCGTCCATCATCACATGCGCAGTATCTCGAATTTTTCTACAAGCAGCGGTGACCTTAGAAATAACTTGACTAATATCAACGTTGAAATATTCTGGGAAAACTAAAATATCCATAGCTATCTTGTAAAATTGTTGTTCAGTGATAACGGCACGGCCAATTTAAAGGTCCCGTCGGCAAATAGATATCTAGTTGTCGTTTGAAACATTCCGCTGTTAGCGCAATTACGACTAGCTCAGCTAAACTGTTCCAGTCATTCACCACACGAGTTGGCAAAGTGACATCTGAGCGAACCCGAAGCCTCGGTTTAAATAGCTTCGTACCGTGGCCTCGTGTCAAACTATCCCCACAAACATGAAAGAACGCTTGTATCTCATGCCGCATCTCACCTCAGAGAATATGTCACGTGTAACTCAAGTCACCACAACGACGACGATATTTCAGGGAGAACAAATTCATCCTTTGAAGGCGATAAGAGTAAGACAAGTTCCGGAGTGTCATGACGGATTTCGATCCCCGCCGCTTAACTTTCTCTATCAGTACTCATTCGCCTTTCGTGAGAGGATAGGTTACTGGTAATCCGTAATCAAGTATTGGTCGTACATGAGAGCTGAAGTGAAGTCGAAATATCTCTGGAGTCATCTGTAAAGAACATCCTATTAGCAGCGACAACTATTTTTAGGGTGTCTTGCTTAGGTTTGGCGAGACAAGAACTTCAAGATCCTTCTCCAAGATTGCGTTCCTGAGCAAGAAGCCCCCAATGTGGTAAACACCAAGGGGTCCAGGGCATTATTTGGGAGGACAGAACACAGCATGATTAATGGGTGGCTGCCACTTTATTGACTAGCAGTGCAACCGGTCCAGCGTTGTCTGTAGCAGCTCAGCATCATCAAGCTTGGACAACTCTAGCCACCGTTTAAGATCATCAGCGTATATGAGGCATTCAGTTTGGAGCTCTGATGGAATATCATTGATATGGCTTTTGAAGAGCTCAGAACCAAGGACAGAGCCTTATGGGACCCCGCTGCTCATAAAAACAGGATTTATGTTGGTATCATTCGTTTTAACTTGCATGCTTCGACCCTTCAGGAAGTCAGCGACCCAGAAATCATCCCAAAAACGCCAGTTTCCCGGAGTTTGTGAAGGGGGCCTCCATGAGGAACTTTGTCAACTGCGCTGCTATAGTGGACGAAAACGACATCCAGAGGATTACCGGCACGAGTGTCCGTTACTCGTCTCACGGGGTTCCAGTTAAGGTTCTATCAGACTCCAGCCTAGCCCTCTTTTGGATGCAGAAACGTCACTTAGAAAAAATGCACAGGAAACGGTTTTGAAATGCAGGTAACTAGTGCGCACCCAATCAACCATGCACTCCATATTGCTCATGTGCCAAAACTTAACTCGCCTTACTATGCGCCTACGTAACGATTGGGAAACGACGAAGTGTGTAATGCAAGTAGTTATATTTGCATGAACCATGCACTACAAAATACATTAGTAGTAACTAAACTAGAAAGTGTTCACCATAATGTGTAAAATTTAAGCCTTTTTCAGTCGTTGTGTTCTTCGAGCTAGGCGAACGCAATAATTGGTTTGCTTCCTACCAGCTACTGCTACTTGACTGCTATCAGTCCTGCACTGAAGATGCCACCTCGAATGGTGACGAGACGTTTGCAATCAAGTTGCCTAGCTCGGTGAACTCCACAACAACTGAACAAGCCTCTCAAGCTACCAATATTCCAACTCATTTCGATAAGCCCTTTTATTCTTTGGGGTAGCTTCATTCAAAATACTTGCCGTCCTATGAGAGTCCAGTTCTGGACTTCTTTGTGTCCAGTGGTGCTGACAGAAAAGGCCATGATATGGGGCCTTAATCTTTCTCCTATTTACATTTGAGCCATGTACAATCCACGTTTTTTGTTAAGCCTCACCCACATGTTTCAACTGACGTCGCGCAGCTTTAATAGGGTCCCGTGTCTGCTGCATATAACATCGCGCATAAGCAAAATCTTGCTACTACTGATGACTCTCTTTTCCATCTGTCGCAACCCGTCTCAATGAGACATCTTAGGTGGTGCGGCGGTTTGCCTATGTCGTCTATCCATGGAGCTCTACGGGACGGTGCCTTCGGGCCTTTTGAGAGCTACTCCTATCAGGTTGATCAATGGTTAGACATCGTACGAACTCAGTCTCCTGGTCCTCCAAATTGGGAGTTTGAAATAGGATGGCGTCCATTTCCGTAAAACTTAATTGCCACCCCGCTGCCTTGCAGACAGGCTTTTGTGCCAAAGGCTTTGCTTGATGATCCCAATCGTCTTCCTGTTTAGGTCTGGGTGCTCTGACAGTATCTCAGCCCACGTAAAACCATGACCATTTATTCAACCTTCAACCACATCTTTCATCGGCTTTCGAGCACATTATCAAGGGTTGCCTTATCTGTTGCATACAGCAGGGCGGATAAGTGAACATGCTATTGTTGGCGCCTTCTTTCTTT